GAACACGTCACCAACTTTCTGCAAATTTTCTGCAGACCTCCAAACTTTCAATTCAATTCAATTCAATTTTATTTATATAGCGCCAAATCACAACAAAAGTCGCCTCAAGGCGCTTCGTGTGGCCTTAAGATTAGCACAAGAATAGTGCATAGAGAGCTTCATGTTATGGGTTTCCATGGACAAGCAGCTGCATCCAAGCCTTACATCACATAGCGTAATGCAAAGCATCAGATCCAGTCAGATCCATGTAAAGTACGCTGCTACTGGACTCTAGAGCAGTGGAGATGTGATGAATCACGCTTCTGTATCTGGCGATCTGATGGACAAGCCTAAGTTTGGCGGTTGCCAGGAGGATCGTACATGACTGCATTGTGCCAAGTGTAGTTTGGTGGAGGGGGGATAATGGTGTGAGGTTGTTTTTCAGGAGTTGGGCTAAGCGCCAGTTCCAGTTAGTTCGTTTAAGGTGAAAAAAGTTCTGACATGGTAACAAAAGACTGGCAAAGACATTTAATGCTAAAAAGCACAACTACAACAGCGTAACATAAACGAGTACAACTGAGTATCTAAGAAAAGCAGAGTGGTTGAGAATTAACGATAGGGAGAGGTTCTTTGCATCAATTTTGCTAAAGAGAACAGGGACCACTCAGCGGTGTTAGTGCACAAATGGCCTGCCGCCATGATGATAAGTGGACGTGTCATGTGTAAAGGCGCTATTAAAGCTGAAACAAACATGCACATCATAGAAAAATCTCTGCTGACATTCAGGCAAGGTCTTATATTGAACAACATTCTGCACACATTGCAGATGCATGGCACCGCATTAATTGCATTTACTGGCATTTAAAAATTGTTTTCAATATTTTTCCAGTGAAAGGAACTTTTAATGGTCATCAATCTAATTATACAAACAACCAAACAAGAAATATGTATAGATTATTTTGTTAGTTTGAAATGCAATCTTTTAGGACTTATTTAAATAGACAGCAAAGTTCAACTTAATTGAGTTGATGCGTGAACACACTGGATCAGAAATCCTATGTAGCTCCTTTTGCTGGACATTTAAGAGCATGTTGTAGTATATTATTGAACAGTAATGAGCAGTTCTAAACCCAACTTTTCATTATTTGTCAGCAATTAGCACTTCTGTTTTTCATATTTTACTGTTATTAATTTTTCATATTGCATTTCGTTTGTTTCTTTCCATGCCTCTGTCATAAAATACGAGCACACGGAGAGCTTTCTGTGTTTAATCTGTTAATGGCAGTCAAGCTGTCTGTTATGTTGAGCTTTTAGCTTATATATTTTCTCTCTTATAAGGGGGCAAGAGTTGAGCTGTCTGCTAAAAATCTCAAGGTAATGGACCAGATGCCTCCATCAGCTCCAAGGTACTGAATGAAACCATTTCTAGGCACCTTAAGCCATGCCTTTCAGATAATTGCACTGTTTATATGTAATCTGGGTGGATTCCCCTCATTTGAAGTTTTGCTTCTTTTTTTAAAAACAGGCTCTTCAAGCTATGTTTGCCACCCTCAGATGGAGACCTCTAAGGATACTGTCACTTCAGCAAAGTCATCACATTGAGGGTGAATGAGGAACTGATGATGACAGGAGCATAGAGACACTGGCAGTGGAAAACCTTTGCCTCTCCCCATTGCCCCGCTTACACAGGGATCATTCCGGCGTGGATACCACTAGAGTCTTCAGAGCACCTACAGTGAGACTGATGCAACCTGAGTCTCAGGACTAGTTATGTATTATTTTACTGGAGCTAACCATATAGAAGCATTATTCTGTTGGCTCTCTTTCCAAACCATGTCGACTTAACAACCGGTTCAAAATATTCACAACAATACGAAAAATGACGAGGCCCCATAAAGACAATGTCCACAGTGGTTATTCTCACAGTTGAGCTTGTATTATTAACTGGATTAACCAAACTACCTGTAGCTGACTGTCATCCTAAATGCAGACATTTCATTTTGCCTTGGACTGCAAAATCCAGAGAGTTGCGTGTTTCTCTGTTCAGGCTGGCGTTCCCCAGGGCTCAATGTGTGGACCCCGAGTGAAGTAGAATACTTGAATGCCCTGTAATTCATATAAGATGCAGAAAGTTAAAGATTAGACAGAGAAATGGAAGTAGGGATTGAGGGGCAGATGAAGATGGCATGGGGGTGGGGTGGGATTGCTGCATGTGGTTACTGTGCAATTACTGTAGGTTTAGTGTGAGTACTGTATTACTGCACTATATGAAGGATAGTTATTTATTGTGTCCAAGAAGGAGCGTTTTATCGCCTACTTATACTATATCGGGTATTAAAAGAATCTAAAAGCATTCCAGCCTACGTATTGAACAGTATTTAAAGGACCAATGGCATGCCGTCTTTTGGATGTAACTGCTCTGGTGTATTTCATTTTATTTATGTGTTACATTAATCTTCAGGGAGTGCAAGGGATGGATGTACTGAAGCTAGCTAATCAGAATCAGGACAAAGGAAGAAACTATACAAGGTTGTTTCTCAACAAGCAGCCAAGTTATCAGGATACTGTTAAATTATTAATATATTAATTCAAGTCTTCTAGTTGAAGGATAACCTTCACTTAACTAAGACACCTTTTGATTTTTTGTTTTTTTCAATTGGCTTTTATGTTGTCTCGAAACGATTGTGTTAACTTTAGGTATTAAAAGAAGCACAAAAATTGGTCCATTCAGTGTTAGAAAAAAAGTACTGTATGCAGTTTGCTGGTGATGTGAACAAAGGGACGGTTTGATGACTGAAAAAACCCAGTAACATTAGTTTACTGACCATTTTATTATTATTATTTTGTACATACAAGCTGTAGCAGTGTCAGAGGGAGGGGGAGTGAGGTCGTGTAGAGAATTAAAGCAGAGAGTTGCTATAAATTAAACTGGATGATATTTTATGGAAATAATATAGTATATAAAACATTTTTGTATGTTTAACTGTGCATTTAAAGAGAACCTGATTCTCTTTTTTAACTGTAACCTCACTGACAACTTGTTTCTGACTGTTAAAAAAGGTTTGACATGGATTTCAAGGACCTCACTTGACATTACAGCAGGTCATGTGATCTTTTTATTTTTTTATTTGGTTCATGTTGGAATAGTCCCTACACATCCCTTGGCAGTAGCATTACCAACACAAATTGACATCCATCAGTTGGCATATAAAACCCATGGCTATTTGCATTGTTTTAGTTTTCTTTCTCAAACGTTGCTCTTAACTCGAGCACTGTAAATATGATAAAACTCCCAGTGCAGCGTTAGTTATCATAACCTGGTCTTAACTGTGCTACCGGTTCAAATTAGCTAATGATTGCAGCATGTCGGTGTAGCAGGACATACATGTCACTGATTACACATGTACTTACATTATTCTAATGTTTCAAATTGTATATACTTTACCTGCAATTTTTTGTTGCTTGCAAATAACTGTAAAAAGGATTTTTGTTGTTGTTGTTGAAACTTTCTAAAAATTATCATTGTAAATGGAATCTTAACAAGCTAGTGAATAAAATGTTCTCAGTACGACAAACTTTTCAGCGCAGCAGTATTGTTGGCTGATCCAGTGGCGGCTGGGATGTCCTTCGGGATATTTTATTTTCATTTTGATGTTTGTTTGTTTCTTTAACCCTTTCTTCTTTACAGTGGACCCTATGTATGTGCTCCGTGTAAGTTTGCATGAGTCAAAAAGATGATTACATCTTTATGCTTTCACACCATGACAGCAGACTGTGACTAAGTAATACCGGGAGTGACCATTGTGATGGTTTCTTTTTTCATCTTACTCATTCTCATATTTGTGCTTGATGTCATAGTGCATATAATCTGGTGTCATTTGAATTAAAACAAAAGATCCAGTAATCTGCTAATCATTTAACTCTTATAGTTAACTGAAAACAACAGCGACAAAATAAGAAATGCTTGAGCTGGAAAAAGTTCTGACATGGTAACAAAAGACTGGCAAGGCCGTTTAATGCTAAAAAGCACAACTACAACAGCCCAGTAACATAAACGAGTACAACTGAGTATCTCAGAAAAGCAGAGTGGTTGAGAATTAACTATAGGGAGAGGTTCTTTGCATCAATTCCGTTAAAGAGCACAGGGACCACTCAGCGGTGTTAGCGCACAGTTTGAAAGCCTGCAGCCATGATAAGTGGACGTGTCATGTGTAAAGGCGCTATTAAAGCTGAAACAAACATGCAGGTCATAGAAAAAACTGCTGACATTCAGGCAAGGTCTTATATTGAGCAACATTCTGCACACATTGCAGCTGCATGACACCGCATTAATTGCATTTACTGACATTTAAAAATTGTTGTTTTCAATATTGTGCACCTTTTTAAATTGTATATAGGCTTTGCATTATTTTGAAACTGTTGCCGTTCTGCTACTCTCATCACTGTGTGCGCGTCATTCACTTTCAGGTGGATGCAAACTGGTCTATATTGTTTCACGCTGGAGTGTGCGCAAAGCAGGCTGGGATGCTCCATTTCTTTGTCTTCTGTCTTGGCTGTTGTTGATACCGTCTCAGGCTGCATGTGTATTCCTGTCGAGGGAACACAAACCTCGAGGCATAGCTTGACATAGTTTTCGGTGTCCATTATCCCGAGTGAAAAAGCTTCACGCATGAATATTACATTAATCCAGTTAAACCCTTTCCTGCAGTTCCTCCCATGTTGGAGTTAAGTGGTGAAGATGGCAGGTTATCTTACGCCGGATTCTTAAAACTAACACGATTCTTTCGGACATAGTAATGGACTTCCCCACCCTCCCAAGTTAGTTTAAACCCTAGGATTGTTTAAAGAGAGCACTGGAAGAAAGCTGGCGCTTGAACTTGGCCTTAATTCATTGTTGTAATTCGATTAAGAGCATTTCTGGCAATAAGATGATTGAAGAACGCTTTTAAATCCCTGGTCACCAACGAAATAAATTTCGCATTTCGCTCCTTGCTGTGTGTCAGATGGCCGGAAGGGGCTAAGGTAAAAGCATACACGGTGCAGTCTCGCATGCTTATTGCAATTGGTTTTTCTAGAGGGACCGACATCAACTGCATTCACCACCAGCACACACCCCTCAGCACCGGTGATGCATCCCCGCGGCAAGGGCACTGACAACTCCTCCTCAGAGTCTCGACTTTAGAATGGTGCAGAAATCTCTCAACGGCGGGGTTTACCCAACTCAAGCCGGAGAGAAGAAGCACAAAGTCGGGTTTGTGGGTTTGGACCCGGGAGCTCCGGAATCCAGCAGGGATGGGGCACTGCTCATTGCGGGCTCGGAAAGCACCAAGCGGAGCAGCATCCTCTGCAGACCGAGGTCCAGCATCTCCGCAGGAAGACCCAGACCGTCGAAGAAAAACGCCAGCTATCGGAAACTACAGAATTTTCTCTACAATGCGCTGGAAAGACCGCGGGGATGGGCGTTCATCTACCACGCTTATGTGTAAGTGCAGTTTTGGGCTTCTGCCACAGTTGCCGTGCCTTGGATTAGGAAAGATGCTGTGGAGTTTTGCAGATCGGGTGTCTCGTTCTGCATTACTGATAATGATCGTGCGACGCAATAAAGGGTTAAATGCGGTCCTGCTGCCGAACTGCTAGAGCCTTATCACACGACAGGAGTCACTTCACCTCCATAACTCCTTCTCCAACTCTTTATTGTTGGCTTTTGCAACTCATGCTTACGTCAGAGTGTCATTTTGGAAGACTTTAACATGTCCACGATGCTTGCAGTTAGTGTTTAACATGTGCCCACGTCCACATACGGTTGGTCTTCATTGACTGGAGTTACCATACGTTTGCTGCAGCTTTCAGCACCGTGCTCCGTGGACAGCTCCTAGTAGACGCTGCAGTCTGACTACGCACAGTGATGTGGACTCTGCTAACACGCATGTGTGTGCGAGCGTTGAGGGAGAGCTCAGACAGTCTGTTGAGTTCTTGCAGCTGGAACATGGTGCTTTGCTGTTGTTTCCCTTGTCTGTTAGGTTAAGTGAGGTTTGGGTCGAACATAAAGAGTTAATGTCAGACCCCCAGAGATGCCATCATCGATATGAGGCCTCACGATCTGTAATCTCTAGTGAGCATGAAATCACAAAGGATAACATGATTTTTTTTCATGCTGAAGTGGTGCTGCAGCAGTTTCTGTCTGCCAACCTGGAAGATGAAAGATTGAAAAAACAGTCAGAAAGAATCTATTCAGTAGACTAGCAGGATACCCAGTCTCTGATCTTACATTTCTCATTTATTCATCGCCTCCCTGCCTCATAATCGCATGAAGTCCATGTCGTGATGCGGACTTCCTGTTTAATACAGCAGACATTAGTCAAATGCTTTTCTGCGTGGACCCACTCCAGTGTGTTAAGTATAACATACTAATGAGATGAAATGGTTACAGTATGTTCCCTTCACAAACACATTCTTCAAATGAAAAGGTGTGTCACCTGTGTTTGGAAGACCCCTCTTCCAGCTTCGTCTGACTCCTTCCAGTTCAGTGATGCTGCATGCTTAGTAGTTAGGAGATGAAGTAGCCACAGCATTGAGGAATTCACTGTGCACAGCATATCGAATCCCCAGACACAGCTGGATGCCCAGAAGTAAGGCTGTGCTCTAATGTGAAACCACACGCACTCACACAGAGCCCTCTGGGTACTTCTGAAATATTAACCGAATACTACAGCAGCCGAGTCTCCATTTGTTATGCCTTTTTTTTAAAAGATGCTCTTCATTGCTGCTCTTAGGAAGCAGTGTGAGCTCTGTGGCTGAATCTAGTGCACGCAGACATGATGTGTTTTAGTAGCCAAGCTACGCCAGACAGCCTCGTTAGAAAAGGGTCAGTAAACATGTGTGTTGTCTAAAATCAGAATCCTCCAGAAAGTTGTAGAGTAGGACACGTGACCGCGATCAACAGACACAAATAAGCACCAGCCAAAGAAGCCACACAGAGTTACCACATGTCTGCCCTCTATTCCATTTGTCTGTTCTATGCATTATTCATAGTCATCACACTTCATTTAATCTCCCAGCTCTATCTTTCTACCTTGCTGATTTATAAAACAATCATGTGATGACAGTAAGCTCTTTCCACCGCCGGTTCGGTCTGTTCCTTATCCCTTCTGCAGTGGAAAATGCATTTGGCATGAAGTAACAGTTGCCTTGAATGAAGCAGTACTACAAGGTATGCTAGCAGCTTTCTTTCTTTTCGATGGGGTTTCTCTGGAAATGTTAGTCAGGTGTTGTGTTCAGTGGCCTCAGTTGTAATGCGCGTGAATAATCAATATGTGGAACATGAGTACTATATAGCCAGAATACTCTTGGGCTTGCTGCTTTGGGTCCTCTCTCTCTCTTTCTCGCTTTATGTTTCTGGCTGTCTGAGACCAAGGCCAGCCTTTCTCCATCACTTTTGGTCAAACATTAGATAAGGGAAAGAGACACAGTGATCTACAGTCATGGATCCCTGTGGGATTAAATCTCTGCTGTTGTACAATATTCATCTTGTCTCAGTTCTTTCTTGGCACAAATTCTGCTACAAAAGGTGTTTTCGTTAGGCTTAATGCTATTGAGACAGTAACGTAAAGCCAGTTCTCTGCAGCCTGTAACAATTTCCACAAAGCCAAGGCATATTCCCAATCAGATGCAGTGCTGAGCTTTCTGTTATCTTCAGCCATTTGGCTTCTGCAGGAGCCTGATTATAGTGTGTCCTCTTGCAGATAGAACCAGCTGTGTGAGATACTTGAATACCCTCTGCAGCTATAAGATGACTAAATGTCTCAGTTGTGCACCAGAGTAGAATATGACAAAAAAAAGACTACAAAAACTGACTGAATAAAGGCAACAAAATGACTAAAAGACAATCAGTACAAAAAACAAAAAAAATTCTGTTTTGGTTATTGTGTGAGACAACCTAAGGACACGGCGTGGTATTCCATTATTTTGCTGATCTGGCAATAAGGCAAGGGCAGCAGTAGACAGATGCTGGCTGCCAGGCTGCTGAGATGTGATTGAGTGGTCTCTTTTAACAGATGTGGGGTCTGTGATAAAGTAAAAGACCGAGTCCTAGTTGGTTTGAGTGTGCCCTATATACTATTCTAAACAACACTTAAAATACAGGCTTACTCAATTAAACACATTTAGAAGATTTTTCAGTGCAGCCTCACTTGATCATGACTGCTTTGCAAGGGTGCAGGTTTTTTATTGGAAAGCGATGGCAAATATTGTTGGTATATCCACACATGCAGGTTAAATGATCTTAGATGTAACTGGGACTCCCAAAAGCTCTCAGTCCTGGTGCTACTGGATCTAAGCGCAGCCTTTGATACAGTAGACCACGCTATTCTTTTAAACAGACTGAAACACACGGTGGGCCTTTCTGGTGCTGTACACAACTGGTTCACTTCCTATCTCTCAGACAGAACTTTTATGGTGAGTATGGATACATGCTCCTCTAAGATCCATAAAATGACTTGTGGTGTGCCTCAAGGGTCAGTTTTAGGCCCTGTACTTTTTAATTTGTGTATGCTCCCTCTTGGCGGTGTCATCAGGAGGCGTGGAGTGAACTTCCACAGTTACGCTGATGACACTCAGCTGTATATCTCCGTGTCTCCTGATGACACCAGACCAATGGATGCTCTTTTTAACTGTATTCTAGATATAAGATCCTGGATGGCAGAGAACTCGGTCCTGAGGCTCAGAGAGAGAAACTCTTGTCTAAATTAGAGGCATTTTCACTATGCCCTTCACTACAAGTGAAAAAACTGGGTGTTATTTTTGACTCTGAGCTTGGTTTTATCCCACATATTAAACATGTAACCAAAATTGGATTTTATCATCTAAAAAATATAGGCAGAGTCCGCCCTATTCTCTCTCGGGCCAACACGGAGATGTTGATGCATGCTTTCATTACCAGTCGCATTGATTACTGTAATGCCCTGCTCTCTGGTCTCCCCAAAAATAATATTTCACCTTTACAACTTTTACAAAACTCTGCAGCTTGTGTGCTGATGAAGACCAGAGGGCGGGCCCACATTACACCGGTTTTAGAATCGCTGCATTGGCTCCCCGTGTGTTTCAGGATCGATTTTAAAGTTCTTTTATTGGTTTTTAAATGTCTTAATGGTCTTGGGCCTTCTTATCTCTCACATTTGGTTTCACCATATGAACCCTCGCGGACCCTGAGGTCCTCTGGTACTGGCCTATTGATTGTCCCTAAAGTCAGGACACATACTCACGGAGAGGCAGCTTTTCAGTGGTATGGTCCTCGTCTGTGGAACAGCCTGCCGGAGGAGCTCAGGGCCGCAGAGAACGTACATGTTTTTAAGAACAGGCTCAAGACCCACCTTTTTAATTTAGCTTTCACCTAACGTTTATTTATTTTATGCTTATTTATTCTATCCTGTTATTCTCCATCCATTCGCGTCCGCTTATCCTTTTCAGGGTCGCGGGGGGCGCTGGAGCCTATCCCAGCTGTCATAGGGCGAGAGGCGGGGTACACCCTGGACAGGTCGCCAGTCTGTCGCAGGGCCAACACACAGAGACAGACAACTATTCGCACTCACATTCACTTGCACATTCACACCTATGGGCAATTTGGATTAACCAATTAACCTATCCCCACTAAGTGCATGTCTTTGGACAGTGGGAGGAAGCCGGAGTACCCGGAGAGAACCCACTGTATATAATAACCCCCTGTTATTCTATTTATATTATTAATTTAGGTTTTACCTAATATTTATTGATTTTATTCTTATTCATTTTTTTATCTTCTTACTCTATTTACATTTATACTGTATCCCATTCTTATTTATTTTATCTTTTTATCCTGTATATATCCTTGTTGGGTCATATCTCCAGTGTTTCTTCGGAGGGGGCTCTCTGCACCGGGGCTGTGATCGACCGTGGCTGCTGGGGCTCTGTGGGTCTTCTCAGCCTGGCTGGGGGGCTTCTTTGCCTCCCTCCTGCTGTGTGCCCAGCCTGGAGGCTGCGGTCTGTGACTGGCTTTCTTTAAAAAATGTTACTGAAAAAACGTTAGTGTGTCCTCCAGTTTAAAAGGAGGCAGAACATCCTGTTTGTTATCAGCATGCAAAAGCTGTCATCTGTGTTGAACAGAGCTGTAGACTTGCACTGATGGCCCTGTTTGGACAGCAGCATTTAGGTAAGAATTTCCATTTCCCATAAAATCTGTTGCTTATTTAAGTAAGACAATGATAACCTATATTCTTTGCCCATTATCACTGGAGGCAGCCTTTCTTCCCCAACCAGGGGAGAGCATTCCACCATTTTCTCACAGGGAACCACATCCTCAGACTTCCTCAGCCTGGCCCATTCACAAAAGGTTTACAGGTTGTTGCAAAAAGAGCTCATGCAAAACAGCAGTATGTATGCCCCGGCCCTATCAGTTTTATATCTGTTGTTGGCACTATTATTTAAAACATAGTCCAGTTAAATATCGCA